CTGTCCTCGCTGGCGGGGCATGCGCGCACACGGCGTTCCCGGCCCGCAGGTCACCTGGCTATCCCGCGGTCGATTTGCGACTGCACGCAGGAGCTGTCCACCGAGCCAGTCCCTGGTGCATCGGAGGCCCTGCGCTGCGTGTCGGAAACCACCCTGCAGACCGACTCGCCAGCGGCCCCGGAGCCGGGGTACCTTCCGGCCCCGGCCGACTCGCGTGTCGCCGAACTGGCGTGCGTCCCGGCCAGTCTCCTCGCCACAATGTGCCAATGTGCCCTCTTTATGCTGACTCTGGCTGTCTCCCGCCCCCCCCCCCCCCCCCCCCCCCCCCTGCTCGCTGGCCGCCAGCAATTCTGCTCGGCAATTCCTTCGCCGGCAGGTGGTGGACCTCCTCCGGCGGCATCCGGTTTCTTGCCAGTCGCTGGCCTTCATCCGAACCTGCATCGAGAGTGGATGGTGTGTGGGCGCCGTGTGGCTCTTGCGCCTTTCCCCTTTTTTCCATTGCCCCCTCCCCCCCACCCTCCCCCCCCTGTGCCGGCATCCAGACTGACTCCCTTCCTGGGCCATCCCCTTCGGGCACATGTTCCTAGCTATTTCCCATACAAATCGCTGTTCAGCATCCCGCTGCCGCTGGTGCACACGCGCCGTGCCGCTTCCCTGCTGGGCCCCTCGCTCGGGGCCCTGGCCCTGACGCCGCTGTCGCTGACCCGGCTGCCGGGGGATGTGTTCTTTGTGGACGACCGCAGCGACTTCCTCACCTGTCGGGAGAGCTATGAGTCGGAGCAGCGGACTTTGGCGGGCGGCGTGACCCCGCCGGCACGCCTGGACAACCCGGGGCTCGAGGGGCGTGGTGCCGGGCTGCGCGCCGCGCAGCAGCCCGTCATCGATGTCATTGGCCGAGTGCTGTTGTCGAGGCCGCGTGGCGGCTGGCGGCGGATCCCCAGCAGTCGGGCATGTGCCCGGTGTCGCATGGCCCGAGGTCATTCCTTCTACAGCCTGTGCTCGGCAGATGGCGAGTCGCAGCGGGCCCTCGAAGATGGCCAGGCCGATGGCCATGCACCTGCGGAGGCCCTCGTCAGCCAGGACGTCGAGCAGCATGCCTGCTCGGTAAAGGTACGGCCTTTTTGGGAGGGGAAGGGGGCGCGGGGGCGCCGGGGGCGCCGGGGGCGCGGCGGACGCGGCGGACGCGGGGGGTGCGGGGATTCCCTGACTGTGGACCAACATGCTGACCGCCTTGGCCGTCATGTAGCCGAACAAGCTGCCCTTCTGGATTATCTTCTCGCTGAAGGCCGACTCGCTGGAGTTCTACTTCGCCGGGCCGGCCGGGGTGCTTGTGCAGCCGGAGGACCGCGACCGGGTGCTGGACGCCGTGTGCACGGCCCTCCTCCGGGTCACCAACCGCGTGAACCGGCAGATTCTCCTGCTGCACGCGTGGCAGACGCACCGGTGCTCGAAGTTGCTCATGCCGCCGGACGGGGTGCTGGTGGCGTCGCCGTCGGCCGGAGCCGGGGGCGTCGGGGGCGGGTCCAGCGGCTCGGCCAGCGGCCCGGGCTCCGGGTCCTTGATGTCGGGCTCGGTGGTGAGCACGCCGGCGTCCAGTGCGGTGGCCGGGGCCGGTCCCGGTGGGCCGGGCTCCGGGCTCATGTCCCCGGTGGCCGGAGCCGGCCCCGGGGCTGGGACCGGCCCCGGGCCCGGGGTCGGCGCCAGCTCCAGTGGCGGCCCCTTGGCCTCGGGCGGGGTGGGTGCCTCGGCCGGCCCCGGGCCCGGGGCCGGTGGGCTGAAGCATTTCACCGGCGGCCCGGCGGCTGGCGGCCACTCGGGCGTGGCTTCGCCGGTACCGGGAGGCACGAATGCCGGGCCGGCGGCGGCGGCGGCGGCGGCGGCGGCGGCGACGGCAGCCGCCGCAACCGGCGGCATGGTGGTCGATCTGGCGGAGGAGTTCTCCTCGGAGGATGATGATGACGACACCTTTGTCGGGGATTATTCCTCCAGTGCGGCCCTCGGGGCCGGGCTGCTGGCGGGCATTGAGGCTGCCCGGCGGGCGGCCTGGCAGATGGGGCTCCCGCCGCGGCGGGCAGACCAACCGGGGCCCGGGGCCACCGGCGGCGTTCCCTGCCGGGCGGCCATCCAGCAGCAGGTGGCCCCGACGCAGTACCCGGCCCTGGTGCTGCACCTGACACGGAATCGTGGCTTCCGGGTGGGGCAGTTCGCTTGCGACCGGGTGCACCGGGTGCAGATCCCCCTGCCGCCGCGGCTGCGCGCGGCCACGGCGGTGTCGCAAATCAGCGCCCAGCTGTCGACCATGGCCGTGACCAACCGACAGAATACCTTTGTCTACCGGCACCGGGACCTGATCTTCCTGGTCCGGCTGAGTGGCTTCGATGATGACAATCAGGCCGGGACCGGGGGGCCCGGGCCCGGGGCCGGCGGCGGCGGCGGCGGCGGCGGCGGCGGCGGCACTGCAGGAACCAGCAGCGCGCCGGTGTCGCTCATCGGCACCCCCGTGCAAATGGGCCTGACTTCGGTGGCCGCGTCGCAGCCGTCGTCCGGCTCGGCGTCGCCGGTCCCCGGGTCCGGGACCGATCGGCAGGAGGATGTTCGCCGCCGGCGCCTCGGGGCCGGAAGCCAGCTGCGTGTGGCGGCGGCGGCGGCGGCGGCGGCGGCGGCGGCGGCCGCTCGGCAATCCCAGCTGGAGGTGGCCGCCCGGCCGAGCCTGCGCGTGGCGCTCGGCGACCACCCGGGGTCCGGGGCCGGGGTGGCTCCCCCGCCGCCGACGCCGGACGCGGCGGACCAGGCCAGCGGCCGGCCCTTCGCGCGCCTGGTCCGGCGGCTGCCCTCCTCGACGCTGGTGGTGGAGATCTTCGGCATGTCGCGGCCGCGCGCCGAATTCACGTCGCCCTTCCTGCACATGATCCAGCAGAAAACCGTGCAGCTGGGCCTGACGGCCCTGTCGACGCAGCTGTCCCGCCATGCGACCCTGCGCTTGGGCCCGGCGGACTTGGCCTTCCTCTTTGCGCCGAGTCTGGACGGCGGGGCGCCGGAGCAGGTGGAGGCCGTTGCGGCGGCGGCCGCGGCGGCGGCCGTCGCCACGCCCGAGCTCCACTCTCCCCTGGCCGACAGTGTGTCTTCCTCCTCGAGCGAGGTGTTCGGGTCCACGTACCGGGCCCGGGCCGCCCTGCCGGCCATCTTCGCCCGGGACCCGCACATGCTGCTGCTCTTTGTCAAGCAAACGGTGTCCAGCTTCCTGGTGCCCTTGTCGCTGGCCAGCGAGTCGGAGCCCCTGATCCGGGCCTTCTTCGAGCAATTGTACGTCCGGTTGCGCCCCCGGGGCGGCGCTGCCGCCGTGTGCCTGCCCCCTGGCCGGCTGTCTGACATGCCAGTGCGCCCCCGCAAACCCCCCCCCCCCCAAAAAAACAACAACAACTAACAAACAAAAAAACCCCAACAAATCCCGGCGCTTGCCCCCGGCCCGCGCAGCTACCACTACCCCTCGACCGGGGGCGGCCCCGGTTCGGGAGCCGGCGCGCCGCCGGGCACCGACGAATCGCCCCTCCCATCCCCGGTGGCCGACGCCACAGGCCCCGGCCAGCAGCATGACCCGGCAGATGTGGCCCACACCCCGCCGGTGGTGCTCCCCGGGGAGTACTGCTTCCTGTACAATGGCAGCCACCCGCGGTCCGGGCCGGTGGGGGCGCACGAGCCGAGCTTCGGCTCCGGGGTGGCCTGCGTGCACCTGTTCATCGCCAACCACCGGGGCGAAGCGCTGTTCAGCTACCCGGCCGACCGGGGCTGCCAGCAGCCCCGATGCCCGGCACGCTGTCATGCCCAGCTGGACGCCGGGTGGGTGGCCTCCGTGTCGGAGGACATCAACACCATGCCCACGGCCTGGGCCGACTCGATGGAGGCCTGCCCGGTGCCCGGGTGGTCCCTGGGGCCCGAAGAGGGTGCCCATGCCAGCGGCCCGGCCGGCCTGCACCCGGCCCGTGGCTTGCACTTTGGCATCGACATCTGGACGCGCGGGCCAATCAAGGCCCAGGCTCTGTGCGAGCGCCTGCAATTGGCGGTCAAGCAGAGCTGCCACGACATGCTGGTGGAGCTTGTGCGTGTTTCGCCGCCGCCGCCGCATGCGCGCTGGCCTCGGTTCCCGCCACCGCCGGGCCCATGCCGCTGACGCCTCCTCGCGCCATCTAACCATCATATCATTCTCCCTCCGCCTCTCCTCCTCTCTCTCTCTCTCCCCCCCCCCCCTCGGGTTGACTCATGCGCATGTGCCGTTTGCCGCGCGTTCTCGGCGCTTCCTCGGCTTCCCACTGCCCGGCGCAGCTCATGGCCGAGGCCGATCAGATGAGCAACACCGGGTCTGCGAGCGTGCACTCGCCTCCGGCCGGGCCGATGGTCCCGTTGTCGCCGCTCTTCTCGCCCGGCGGCCAGGGGAGCATGCTGGTGCCGGGCCTGGGCCCCGGCAGCCCCTGCTGCCAGTTCTGTGCCGGGCCCGAGTGTCCGGCCGGGGCCCGGTCGCTGGCCCTGGTGTCGGATCTCCAGGATGAGGACCTGTGCGAGTGCCACCAGGCCGCGGCCGGCATGCCAGGCGCATCGGCCCTGCTTCCAGGGGCAATGGCCGCGGCCGCTGTGCCGGCGGCGGCAGCGGCGGCAGCGGCGGCGGCAGCCTCCCCGGACGCCGGGCCGCGCTCCCGGTCGGAGGTGGTTCAGCGCCTGCTGGGCAGTGCCCCGGTCGGGGGCCGCTGGCCCGGGGCGCCCTTCTACATCGGCGGCGCGAGCCAATCGGCCGGCGGGGACCATGTGTCGCGCTTTGTCCGGGAGGTGGTCCGCCCGCTGCGGGTGTTGCTGGAGGCCTCGGCCCGGCTGGGGTCCCCGAGTGTCGACGCGCTGGCGCTCGGGCCGGAGGCCTTGGTGTGCCTGGCCGCGCGCGATCTGTCCCAGGTGGAGGTGGGTTCGGGCGCTGGTGGCCCCGGCCTCGGCCCCGGCCCCGGCCCCGGCCCCGGCCCCGAGTCGCCGGGGGACTCGCCGCTGCCCGGGTCGCCTGGGCCGGCCCCGGTGGCCGACCTGCCGGCCCCCGGCACCAGCCGGTCTTTCCCCCTGCCGGTGACCCTGTCGGATTTGGCGGTGTGCGGACGGTCGGCCGTGCCGCGCGCGCAGCATGATGTCTTCGTGCGCGGCCTGTGCGACTCGGTGTCGCAGCTCCTGTCGGATTTGGCCACGCCCATTCTGCTGACCCTGCCGAGTCGCGATGTGCGACCCGACCGGGTGTCCCTGCCACGGGCCCACACCTCGCTGGCCCTGTCGGAGGACTTTTCCCTGTGCGTCTGCCCGGGCCCTGTCCCGCCGTGTCGCGATTGATGCTCCCGGTTTTGGGGCTTTTCCCGGCCACTGCCCCCCGGGGAGTTGCTTTCCTCTTCCTCGCCCCCCCCCCCTCCCCCTCCTCCGGCCCGCCTCTCTCCCTCTCTTTCTCTCTCTCTCTCTCTCTCTGTGTGTCCTCGCCTGGTCATGCCCTTTCCCCGCGGCACGGCAAGTCACTCGGTCATTGTTTGCGGCCTGGAGCATGTGTGTGCCAACTACGGCTTCTGCCCGCACCCGGACCAAATCGACGGCCCGGTGGGCGAGCACTCCACCGGCCAGTCGGTGGCCAACCAGTCGGTGGCCGGGTGTTCCGGCGGCTCGGTGGCCTCGGACGGGTCTTTCATCCACCTGACATCGCCTTTGTTCACCGGCGAGGTGACCCTCCCCGGGTCGTTGGAGACCAGCGGGTCGCCGGTGTTTGTCGGCTCCCCGGGCAGGGGCCCCGGCGGGGTGCACCTGGCCCTGGCCTCGTCGTCGCCATCGCTGGCGCCGTCGGTCGCGCCGTCGGTCGCGCCGTCGGTCCACCCGTCGCGCCGGTCGTCGGTCTTCTTCGGGGCCGGAGCACCGGCCGGGTCGGGCTTCGGCGACCTGGCGGGCGATCCGACCGACGAGGGCCCTGGCGCATCTCATGTGCTGGGCTTCCAGCCGACGGCCGGGGCCCGCGCTTCACCGGGCCCCGAGCGCGGAACCTTCACCGGGGCCCTGCCGCCCGGGGGGGCGGCGGGTTCGCCTGCGCCGGTGGCCGGGCCGGGGGCGACGGCAGCGGCGGCAACCCCCGCCACTGCCACCGCGCCGGTGTCCTCCCTGCCGGACGCCAGCAGCCTCCTGCCGGATCCGATGCCCTACGATGCCTTCCCCCCGCCGATCGGCTCGCCAGACCCCTCGGTCTACATGTCCCCGGTGTCCGGGGGCCTGGCCCAGGCGGTGGTCTCCCTGCCGGGGGCTTCGAGCTCCGGCGCCGGGCCCGGTGGGGCGGCCTCCTTTGCCGGGACGCACTCCGGCTCGCTGCTGATGTTCGGCGGCGGCGGGGCCGGCGGGGCCGCAGCGGCGGGCGGTGTCGGCGGCGGCGGCGGCGGCGGCGGCGGGACCCTGGCCACCGGGCTTGGCACCGGCACCGGGGCCGGCCTGGCCGCGCCGGTGCTCGGCCCGAACCAGGCGCTCGATGTGCGCCGCGGGGCCTTCCTGCTGATTTCCCTGACCGCCAGCACGGTGGAGCTCCAGGCATACAATGTGTCCCGGGCCCTGGTGGATGCCGTGTCCATGAGCATTGTCCGGCATGTGAGCTGGATGGTGGCCCGGCGGACGCTGATGGACCTGGCCTCCCTGCAGAAGCTGGGTCTCTTTTGCCGGGCCCGGCTGGATGCCCCGGCCCTGGGGCTGGTCCTTTCGCCGCCCTCCTTCGCGCGGCGCTTCCTGCAGTTGCCGGCCTTTGTGATGCCGGCGGCCGGCGGGCCGGGCCCTGGCCCGGGCGCCAGCACCGGTCCTGGCCCCGGTACCGGGGGCCCCGGGGCTTCCGGGTCCAGCAGCTCGGTGGCGGCGCCCTCGGCCGCCCCGGCGCGGGCCCTGAGCGGCAATGATGGTGCCGCGGTGTCGGGCCCGGGGCCGGCATCCGGCTCGGCCAGTTTCCGGCCTGCTCGCTCGACCAAGCACATTGCCGCGGTGCTGTCCCAGTCGCGGGCCGGGTCGGTGGCGGGTGGCGGCCATCCGGGCCTGGCCACGTCCCCCGGCACGGGGCCCGGCTTCGCCGAGCTGCCGGACCCCTCCGGGGACCAGGGCGATGGCCTGGCCGGGGGGGTGTCACTGCCTGCCGGGCGCCTGGTGCACCAGCTGGGCAAGCAGCCGGCCGCCGGGGTGACGGGCCCTGGTGGGCTCTTCCTGCCGGCCGGCGGGCTGGTGGGCGGGTCGTCGCCGTTGGCCCCGGCGTCGCCGCAACCGGCGGCCCCGGCAGGCGCGCTGGCGGTGGCCGTGGCCGGGGCCGCCCCCCCGGCCGATCCGCTGCTCAGCCAGGGCGACATCACCACCGTGGTCCTGAGCATTCAGGGGGTGCACTTTTTCCTGAGCTTCGGCACCCTGCCGAGTGGGGCGCTGCGGGTGAGCGCGGCCTCGGCAGCCGCGGCGGCAGCCACCGCGGCGATGGTGGCCGCCCTGGGCCCGGGCTTCCTGCCGGAGTCCGGGCCGTCTGGGGCTTCGTCGCCGGGCGGGGCCGGGCCGGGCCTTGCCACGACCCCGGGCCCGGGTGCCGGGGCGCCTGGCCCCGGGGCCCGGGGGTCGCGCGGGCTGAAGCACCTCCAGCTGGCCCCGCGCGTTGGGGTGCGGCTGTCCTTCGCCCTGCGGCCGGACACCATCGACCAGTTGATCCAGCTGCCCTTGCCACCAGCCCCCGGGGCCCTGGCGGCCGGCGTGCAAACGACGGCGCCATCTGTCGGCGGGCCCGGCGGCCAGCCGGCCAGCTCGAGCACCCTCTCGGCCGCCGGTCAGCTGGGCACTGTCCCGGGGTCTGGCGGCGCCTCGACCGTCGGCGGTGGCGGTGGCGGTGGCGGCGGTGGCGGCGATGCCACCCCCAGCGGTGGCGCCAGCCATCCGCAGCTCATGACCTCGCCGGCCTCGTCGTTGCTCCTGCCGCAGATCCAGGCCGGGCTCTCGGCCGGGGCGCGTGCCGCCGGTGTGGGCGCCCCCTCGACCGGGCTTGCCTCGCCCTCGAGCCGGCCGCAGCTGGCCCTGCCGACTGCCGGGGCGAGCGCCGTTGCCATGACGGCCAGCTGGCCGGGGCCGGTCCTGCCGGCCACCCGGCGACCCGGCGCGTCAGCCCGGTCCCAGCGTCTTCTGGCGCGCCTCGGCGTTGCTCCTCCTGTGTTGGCTCCGGTGTGCGTTTTTTTCTTGTCGTGCCCCCCCGCCCGGGCTGGGCCCTGTCCGCCCGTGTCCCGGCTGTGGCCGGCTCTTGATCTCCCTCCCCCTCTTTATCTCTCTCTCTCTCTCTCTCTCTCGTTCTCGTTCTCGTTCTCGTTCTCGTTCTCTCTCTCTCTCTCTCGTTCTCGTTTTCTCTCTCTCTCTCTCTCTCTCTCTCGTTCTCGTTCTCGTTCTCGTTCTCGTTCTCTCTCTCTCTCGTTCTCGCTCTCTCTCTCTCTCGTTCTCGTTCTCTCTCTCTCTTTCGCTCTCTCTCTCGCTCTCTCTCATGCCGCTGACCATCGCCGCCATAGTCACCCCACCGAGCCGAGCACCTCCCCGGCGATGGGCGACCCCGCCGCCGGGGATGGCTCCGCCGCGACGCTTCCCCCGCGCTTATCCTTCCTGGACCCGGACTTCGGCCTCTTCAGCATGGTGGCCGAGCCACCGGCCGAGGATAAGCCCACGAGCAGCGACCCGACGCCGGGAGCGGCGCCCACCGCGGGGCCCGAGCCGGCCGAGCACCGGGTGATCACCATCTCCCCGGCGGCGGCGGCGGCGGCCGAGATGTCGGGCGCGGCCCCGGTGCCCGGGTCGTGGGCCGGGCCGGGCCGGACCGGTTCCGATGCGGCCCCCCCGGCCGCCGGGCCGCCGCCAGTGCACTCGGCGCCCCCGGCCCCGCGCCGGAAGCTGGTGGACCTGCGCCTGCTGCTGCGCGATGTGCACTTCGCCCGGGACCTTGTTGGGCTTCCCCAGTGGCAGGTGCTCCTGCGGTCGGGCAGCTTCCTGTCGGCCTTCTCGCGGCGGGCCCTGCTCCGGCCGGCCCCGGCCGGGGACCCGGTGGCCGCGCTGGCCGGCGACCTCCGCGGGCTGCTCTTCGCCGAGCGCGACCTGGCCCGGGTGGTGGCCGCCTGGAATGCGGTCTGCCTGCGATGGGTCACCATCGATCGAGACCGGATGACCGGTGCGCGGGCGAGCCGCCTTTCCCTCTTTCTTTTGATTGTCTGCTCCCCCCCCCCCTCCCCCGTCTTCGGGAGGCCCGACGTGTGGCTGACATGCTCCGCCCGCCGTTTCTTGCGTGCCCCCCTGTCGGATGGGCTTCGGTTGCCCCGGCGCAGCCTCGGACATCGCCCTGCTGATCCAATCCAGTCGGGTGCTGTTTGTGGTCCGGGCGCCGATGTTTGCCTCCAAGCAATCTGGCGCCATCCGGGAAATCCATCCACCGGCTGGCGGGCTGGTGCCGACGGGCCGCGGCGCCCCGAGCACCCCGGCCGCCGCGGGCCCCACCACCGTGCAGTATGGCCCGGTGGACCTGGTGGCCGGGGGCGAGTCGGCGGCCGGGGCCGAGGGCGAGTCGGCCGCGGCCGCCCAGTCCTTCCTGCTGCCTGGCGTCCTGGAGCAGTTTGGCCGGCTGCGGCTGGCGGCCGGCATCGACACCCCGGCCCCGGGCCATGGTCTGATCAATGTCTCGGATCTGGCGTACTGCACCGCCGCCGCGGTTGGCGGTGACAGTGCCAGCGGCGGCGGCGGCGGCGGCGGTGACCCGGCCACGCCCGGCGCCCCGGCCGGCGCCGGCGCCGCCACCGCCGCCGCTGCGGACAGCCCCTCCGGCCTGACGGTGGCCGAGTGGTATGACCAGCACCTGAGCCAGTTCCTGGCCGACTACCGGGCCTACGCCGATTTGATTGGCATCGAGTTTGCGCACGAGGCGCCGGGCGGGCAGGCCGGGGCCGGGGCCGGGGCCGGGGCCGGGGCCCCCGGCGGCCCGGACGGCGGCGGCGGCGGCGGCGGCGCGCGGCTCTTCCTCTCGCCGACGGCCTTCGTCGGGCTGCGCGGCCCCGGAGATGCGGTTGCCCGGCGGGTGTACTTCTCCCGGCCATACACGGCCCCGAGCGGGCGTGTGGGGCTGCTGCTCTTCGAGCTGGGGTTCTACGACACATCGGCCCTGTTGAGCGGGAATGCCACCATCTCGGCGGCGGTGTCCGGGCCGCTGAGCACCACCCATGTCGGGTCGTTGCTGATCGGGTTCAATGTCTTCGCCGTCCGTCAGCAGCACCCCCGGCAGCGGGCTTCGAGCGCCATGATGACGGCCCTGGCCTTCCGGGCCCGACCGAGCCAGTCCCTGTCGATGACGGCCCCGCTGCAGCGGCAGCACTCGGCCCTGCGGCCGATTTTGGCCCGCGGCTCCGGTGGTCCGGGCTCGGGCTCGGGCTCGGGCCCGGGCTCGGGCTCGGCATCGGCCGGACTGCTGGCCGGGTCCACGGGCCGGGGCTCGTCGCCGCTGGTGGCCCCCCCTCGGGCGGGCCTTGTCGTGAATGACGAAGACCCGGAGCCCTCGGCACCGGGTGGGACGGCGGCCGGCGGCCCCCCCGGGACCGCTGTCGCCGCTGCTGCCACCAGCAGCACCACCCCCCCGACGGCCGGCACGGCCGGCTCCGCCAGTGCCACCGGGCCCGGGCCCCTGCTGCCCTCGGATGCCGGGGATGTGCGCTTTGTCCTGGCCGAGGGCAAGTCGCCGGAGGCCATGCAGCTCCGGGCGCGCATCGACCGACGCAAGGTGGTCGATGAGCGGGCCCAAATCGACGCGGCGTCCTACTGGCGCCGGCAGATCCAGCTGGAGGTCTTCACGCTGGACTTCTATGTCCGGCACTTCCAGCGTCTGCTGGAGCCGGAGCTCCGCTGGTCCAGCCAGTATACCCCCTCAACCGGGTACGCCGGGGGCAATGCCACGCGGCGGGCTGGGGCCGGCCCGGCGAGCCCGGCAGATGCGGCCTCGGCGCCGCCGCGCGGCGGCAGCCCCGGCATCCCGACGGCCATGCACCCGGCGCTGGATGTGGTGCAGCAGCTCCACCGGTTTGTCAGCCTGGCCGGGGTGTCGCCGCAGGCCCGGTCGCGCATCTACTCCGGGGTCATTCCCCTGCCGGACAGCTCCATGAGCCGGGAGGCCCTGGTGCAGTATCTGGCCCGCCAGTCGCCGGACTTCCACCTGCGGTCCATCTGGAGCGCCTGCCCGGAGGCGCGGCTGGTTTTGCGCTCTGGCCCCCGGGCCGGGGGCATGGCCGACGGGCCGGACCCGGGACCAGGGTCGGGCTCGGGCTCGGGCTCGGGCTCGGGCTCGGGCTCGGGCTCGGGCTCGGCCCCGGCCCCGGCGCCGCGTCAGCGCCCGGCCTTCTTCCGGGTGTCCTCGCAGGCGGACTTCTCGGCCCCGCCGGCCGGAGTGTCGGCCGACGCCACCACCACCCCCTTCGTCTATACGCTGGTGGTCTTCCCGGAGGCCGGGGGCCATGCCGCGCCGCTGGTCCTGCGGTACATCCTGCTGGTCAGCAACCTGGCCCATGTGTCGCCGCTCCTGCGCGATGAGGCCCTGTACACCCTGTCGTCCAAGTGCAATGGGCACCTGGCGTCGCCGGCGCTCGAGGAGCCGGTTGTGCCCCGGGCACCGACGGCCGGCCCGGTACGCGAGGAGTCGCCCGGTGACTCGGTCGCCACGCTGGCCGGGCTGCCGGCCGTGGCCGCGCACTTTGCGGCCCTGCTGTCGGCCTCGGCCGGCGGGGATCTCCCCCGGGTGGAGGCCCTGCTGGGGGCCCGGGTGGATGCCCTGGCCGCCGAGGTCGGCGCCGCCCGGGGCCCGGTCCTGCAGGCGCTGCTCAACCGCCGGGACGCGGTGTCCGGCGAGACGCCGCTCTTTGCCGCGTGCGCGCGCGGCCATGCGGCCGTGGTGGACCTGCTCCTGGGCCAGGACCAAACAAACGTCAACTACCCGGCCCGGCTGCCGCTGCATGTGCCCTACTCCTCGTCGGACCCGCTGTTCATGGGGCCGATCTTGCCCGGGGCCGCGAGCGTGGCCGCCACCGGGGCCGGCCCCGGCGGCGCCGGGTCCACGTGCCACCCGTCCCGCGAGTACTACCGCTTTGAGCGGGTATGGTCGCCGCTCTTCGGGGCGGTGGCCTTCGGCCGGGCGGCCGTGGTCCGGCGTCTGCTGCAGGACGACCGGCTGCGGCTGTCGCGCTCCGGCGCGGCCGGCCCCCACAAGCGCGGGTCCCTGCCGGCGGAGCTGTGGCTGCGCAACCGGGTGACCTCGCTGGAGGAGGAGCTGCCCTTTGCGTTGGAGTACGCGCGCCGGGTGCTGGCCACGCCGGCCGCCTTCGGCCGGATTGCCGGCTGCCTCGGGGGGTCGATCTGCTCGGACCCGGCGGCCGCGGCGCAGGTGGTGGCCGACCTGACCGCGGCCGCCGGGCGGCTGGTGCCCCGGTGCCCGGCCCTGGCGGATGTTCTGCCGGGGGCGGTGCCGGCACCGGACGCCGCGGACCCCGGGGTCCCGCGGCTCACCCTGCGCCCCGGGTCCGGGGCCGAGCCCTCGCTCCTGCGCATCATGGCCGACCTGGACCTCCGGTCGCCGGCCCTGCTGTACTACTTCCACGAGCGGGCCATCGGCCTGAGCCGGCTGTTCGCCGCGTCGACCGGGTGCTGCTTGGCGCACGCCTCGCGGCTGATGCTCCGTCGTGAGGCCGATGTGGACCTCTTCCCGGGGCCCCCCTCGGCCGGGGACCCGGGGCTCGGAGCCGGCGGCCAGGCCAAGTTCTGCTGCGCCTTCTTCCGCCAGCTGGCCGTCGATACCCCCGGGCCGCGGATTTCCCCCCGGCGCCTGCGCGGCCTGCTGCTGGCCGTCCGTGCTCTGGCCTTCGATCCGCTGTGCGACGCGGGCACCTACTCGCACCTGCTCCCCTCGAAGCACCGGCTGCTGCTGGGCTGCGAGACCTTGTACGTGTCGCATGTGTGCCCCCCCCCCCGTCTCCCCCCCCCGCGCCCTCCTCTGCCGGGGTCTTCGCCGGCCCTGTCATCCCTCGCCCAGGCTCCCACTATGCCGTCCCCCTTCCGTCTTATCGTCCTGTTCCCTCCCCCTCTGACCTTCATGTTTCTGCCTCCCTTTCCTTTCGCCGCTCCTCGGTTTGTGCCTCGCTGTGTGCGCGCCCCTCCTCGCGTGCGTGCCCATGCTGCCCCTGCCTTGCCCACTGGCTTCACCTCTCCCCCCCTCTCCCTCCCTCTCCCTCTACAGCCTGCAGAAGGTCCTCAAGAATGTGCGCATCCAATTCGAGCGCGACGAGCTCTGGAATCGGGCCCTCCTGACGGCGGCCGGTGGGTGCCTGCGCACCGACAGTCCCCCGGTCCCGATGTCCTCGGGTCTGGTGGACTTCCTCCGCGCGGTGGAGGACCTGGGCACCGGGACCCCGCTCGGCCGGCCGCCGGGCTTCCACCACGCGGATTTGATGCGGCTGCTGGATTTGTGCCGGCACCGTGCCGCCACCGACATCGACCCCAGCCTGCACGAGCTGGTGTCCATGCTTCCCTGGCCCGGCACGGCTCTCTTCCTGACCCAGGCCTTCGGGGTACGTTTTCGCCACAGCCCGAAGACATGCCCACGCCCACGCCCATGTCCACGCCCGCTCGTGCACATGCACCCGCCCGCCCCCCTCCCCCCCCCCCCCCCGCCCCCTCCGCGCCCATACTGACAAGCACTCGGCCATGTGCCCGCGCGCGCCTGTGCGTCCATGCACCCGGGGGAAATGCAAAACCCCTGCACCAACCACAACACACAAACAACCTGCCCCACTTCGGATCGCAGCCGGCCTGCCTGCACTTGACCGACACCGACGACGCGGCGGTCCCGCTGGTGGACTTCTCCCTCTCCGGGCTGAGTCTGCCGCCGGGCGAGGCGGCCTTGGGCGGCGATGTGCCGGCCGGGTCGCCGGGCGACCCGTGCCCCGGGCCCACGCTCCCCGCAAGTGGGCCGCTCCAGGGCGGGCTCCAAACGGGCGGGCTCCTCCGGGCGCCGCTGCCCTCCGGGGGGGCCGGCGCGTCGGCTCGCTTGCAGCACCATCTCCGGCCCGACTCGCGAGTGGGGTTCCTGCTGGTGCCGCTGGTGCCGGACACGGACCTCCTGCTGGTGGTCCGGTATAGCCTGGACGGCCAGCCGCTCGATGTGGCCAACAATTCGCCCGGCCCCACGGGCCCCGGGGCCGGGCCCTGCTCCCCGCGCTATTGCGAGTTTACATTCGTGCGCCGGGCACCTGCGCGCGGCGGCGGCGGCGGCGGCGGCGGCGCCAGGGCCTCCGACGGGGCCGCCGACAGCGACAACACCAGCGACATGTGCCAGCGCGAGCTCCGCCATGTGGGCCGCCTTGTCAACATCCTGTCCTTCCTGCTGTGGCAGCGCCTGCTCCTCGGGCCGCGGCGGCCGGGGGCCGCCGGCCCGGAGCCCGACATTTGGGCTCGGCTGGGTGGCCCCGGCGGCGGCCCGGCCGGGTCCTTCGACTTGGCTGGCAGCGCGGCCGCCAGCCCCCCGGCCAGCCCGGCCATCTCCCAATCCCCGTCCATGGTGTTCGACCAGGTGGCCGACATGCCGGCCTCGCCGCGCGCCGGGGCCGCCGGGCGGCCGCGCTCCTCCACCGGCTCCGGCCTATCCGGCCTGCTGGCCGGGCTGTTCCCCTCAGCAGGCCGGCAATGATGTGTGGCCGGCTCCGGTGCCGGCCGTGGTTCCCTCTCCCGGGTCCGGGGGAGCTGGGCTCGGAGGGAAGACAAACAAAGTGTGGTCTATTCAAGGGCGTGAAGCAAGCAATACACCGACACACCCATGCGTGAGCGTGTATGTGCGTGTGTGTGTGTGTGTGTGTGGGTGCATGGTAACATACGAAAGAGGGGGCTGGGCGGACGGAGGAGGGAAAGGACAGAGGGGGGACGGGAGAAGGACGGGCGGGACCGCCTCCTCCTCGCCTCACCACACGGCAGGGAAGGGGGGGGGGGGGAAGGGGAGGTGGCATGCGGCGCGGGGAGGATCCGCCAGGCGGGCACATCACTCGTCGGCCGCCGTGGCGGCCGGGCCGCCGGTGGCCGCTTCCAGCATGGCGATCAGCTTCTCATTGATCTCGGTCAGGTACTGCACATCGGCCCGCAGGGTTTCATTCTGGGTCTGAAGCTCCAGCAGTTCCTCCGGCTGGGCAGCAGCAGCGACAGGGGCAGCGGGGGTCTTTTTTTCCCCCCCGAACGGCAGGGAGGGCGGAAGGCAGCCACAGGCGCGTCAGCGGGACATCAGACAAGCACACGAGCAGAAGCCAGGCAGGGGGGGGGGGGGCGGCAGCGAAAAAAGCGGAGAAGAAAGAAGTCACACAGGGGCGGAGCAGGCGACCAAGGCCCACACGGCGGAGAGCCACGTACCGGCTGCTTGTCGGCAACGGCCGCCGGGCCCGGGCGCCCGGCCAGCAGAAGCGCGGCCGTGGTGCGATCCTCCCACCAGAGAGGCTCAAGGGGCAGAGCCGCGCCGGCCGGACCGGGCGAGTGCCCGGCCACCGGCGCGTGGACCACCCACCCGGCCAGGTCCTCCTCGCGCGAGCCGGGAACCGACACCGGCGGGAGGGCCACATGGCGGCGGACTTGCGGAGCGGCCAGCGCCGCGGCATTGCCACCTCCAGCATGCGAGGAGCCGGCCCCCCCGGCGCCGGCCAGGCGCTCCGGCGTCGGCCGAGCACAGGTGGCCAGGGCCAGCGCCTCGGCCTCCGGACGAGGAAGCAGCTGCAGGAAGTTCACCGGGCCCGGGCGCTGTGGCAGCGACCGGACCACCTGCCTGGAGACCAGGTCCCACAGAAGCAGCACGCCATCCTGCGACCCGGAGGCCAGGAAGGCCCCGTCCAGGCTGACCGCCAGCGCGGTCACCGGGGCCTTGTGCACCGTGAGCGCAACGCGCAGGTCCCCCTCCGCCGAGCCGGCGGCCCAGGACCCGGTGGCATCGGTCAGCCCGCCGGTGGCACCGCCGTCCCCATCGGACGCCAGGCTGACACCGCGCGCCAAAATCACCCGGTAGATGTGCCCATCATGGCAGCCAGCCCACACGGCCCCGGTGGACGGCTCGAACACCAGCGACAGGGCCACCGACGGCAGGTTGTACGTGAAGAGAAGGGCCCCCGTGGCCAGGTCCCACATCTGCCAGGCGGCCCATGACCCGACGGCCGGCAGGGGAAGCGCGTGCAAAGGTGGCGTCAGCATGTGGGGGCGTGTGCAGGCCAGCGGCGGCTTCGCCTGCCTGCCTGCCCCTCGTGGTGCCGAGGCCGGATACATGGAGGCCGCAGCCAGGAGCCGAGGGATGTGCACGCACCTTCAGGGTCTTGTCATGGGAGGCCGACAGGACGCGAGCCGAGTTCAGCCCGCCCGGGGTCAGGGCCACCGCCGAGATGGGCAGCGAGTGCTGCGAGGACCAGGCATGCCGAGGAGGGACACTGGCCTCATCGGCGGCCCCGGCACCGACAGCATTGCGCGCGATGGCATTGAACACGCCCACCAGGGACCAGGCAAAGACCGAGGAGTCATCCGAGCCGGACACAAACCCCAGCGAATCGTCGGTCCACTGGATGCATGTCACCCGGGCGTAGTGCGCATCCCACGACTGCACAAGGGCCCCGGTGCCGGACTGTTCCCGCGGCGAGATCGAGCCCGTCCGTTGGTCAGTATTTCAGGGGGCCAATGGTGGGGTATGGATGTGCGTGCGACCGGGCGAGTGAGCGAGGGAATGAGCGTGTGGATTGCAGACGCACGCGGCATGCAATGCACACACACACACACACACACACACTCACGCGCTCACCGCCACCCCCCTGACACACTTGCACACTTGCACGCCCACACAGAACAGAAGACAAGAGCAAAGACATGGTCACGTACATCCCACAGATACAGCCGGCCAGAGGCGCCGCCGGCCACGGTCCATGCGCCACAGGGCGACCGCGCCAGGCAGGCCAGGCGCTCCGGGCCGATGGCCCGGTCCACCGGTGCCTGGCGATCCCACCGCCACGCTTGCATGATGCGATTGTGCGAGGAGATGGCCACCAGCGGCGCGGCGGCCAAGAAGCAGGGGGGCATCTGCGGCGTCGGGGCCGGGGCGCCGGCCGTTTCCGGGACCAGCGTGGCCAGCGGCATGGCCAGCGGCACGCGCAGCACCGACACACACCCCGGGTCCACGAGCAGCGGGCCGAAGGTGCCGAGCGGCGCGCCAGAGGGCACCTCCAGCAGGCTGACCACCGCGTCCGGGCCGATGTGCGTGCTGTTTGACGAGACCACCACACCGGGCGGGGCCCCGTGGCCAATCGCCAGGGCGAACTCCAGCGGAGAGCGGCCAGCCACCTGGGACAGCAGACCCGCGGACATGTGCGGCGAAGGGGGGCGCGGCGCGGAAGCGGGGCGAAGGGGGCGGGAGGAGGGGGAGAGAAGGAGGAGGGGGAGGAGGAGGGCGGGGATCCACGCGAAGCGGATTGCGCAGGGGGCCGGAGGAGAGCCGGGAGTGGGAGGGAGGGGGCGGGGAGGAAAGGCAGAGGGGGCGGGGGGGGGGGGGGGGCCGTGTTTGGGCGAGCCAGGGCAGATCGCTGGGGTCCACCCACGGCGCAGATCTAGCACCAGGCGGGACGGGAGCGCGCGGGAGGGAACACCACGCCGGGCGCCATCGCACACGCGCGCGCCGCCGCCGCCGCCGCCGCCGCCACCGCCGCCGCCGTCTCCCGGCTGGCGCGCTCGCACACGCCCACCCGGCCACGAGAGCGCCGGCAGGCATGTTCCCGCGCGCGAGCCGGCCGGCGTCCAGCGGGCGCGTGGTGTCGAGCCCCATCCGTCGGCACGCTGCCGCCCATGCAGGCGGCTTAACTCGGGCGCCGATTAAGCCCGGACATGATCGCCGGCAGGTGGTCCGGCTTTAGGTTCGGCCTGGGGCCTGCGTTGGGGGCTGCGGCCCCGCGGCTCGGGGCCTCCTGCCGGCTGCGGCCCGGGCCGCCATCACCGCGACCCGCCGCGCGGCCCTCCCCCCCCCCCCCCCCGGGTGCCCCCCTGCCACCGGAGTGCATGGGGGGGGGGGCGGGCGGGCGGCGAGGAGAGGGGCTACACAGGCGACACGACCATTGCACTCGGGTCTCGAGGCGCGAGCGTGCGTGCGTGCATTCGCATGCGCATGCGCAAGGGGAACGGCGAGGTTCTCTGCCACATGCGTGGCGATGCGTTGGCTAGGAGCCTGGTCGGCGCCCTTTTTCGGACCCCATAGACACGGGGGTGATCCACGCGAGGGGACCGGCACCTGCTCCTCCTCCCCCCCCCCCTTTCCCTCTTCCTGCCTCCCTGCCCTGCCCGTGTCGCCTGCCGCTGTCGCGCGTCTCCTCCACCGCCCGCACGCCCGCCTCCCTCTTCCCCCCTCCTGATCTCCTGCTCGCACATCCACAGGGCGCGCTCGCCTGTCGCAGTTGGTCGCGCACCCCCCTCCGCCGGGGCCTCCGTCGGCCGCTTTCCCGTTCCCCCCTCCCCTCGCTCCTCCTGTCCCCTCCCCCCGTGCCCCGCGTAGACACGCCCCGCGCGGCCGCCATGGCGCCGAACACCCTCGCCCCGATGTCGGTGGACAAGGGCGCCTGCCCGAAGACCGCCAGCCGGAGCCACCCCGCCAAGAAGGCCGCCGGCGCGGCCGCCAACCCGGACAAGTACTCCTCCTTCGGCAAGGACGAGTCGGCCGCCGATCCGGAGTCCGACCTCTACAAGCCGATCCCCACGGTGCAGGTGCGTCGTCGGCAGCCGGCCCGGCTCGGGTGCCCAGTTCGGGTCTCGCCGGCTGCCCTCACCCCCGGCCGCCCCATCTTCCTGGCCTTTCATCGCCGGTCGCCCTAACGCCCCGTGCTCCTGGTCCTCCCCAGGACAAGTGGAAAATCCTCCCCTCCTTCCTGGAGGTCCGCGGCCTGGTCAAGCAGCATCTGGACTCCTTCAACTACTTCATCAATGAGGACCTGCGGCTGATTGTCAGCGCCAACGCCCGGGTGGTCAGCGACGTGGACCCCTCCTTCTACCTGAAGTACACCAATGTCTATGTCGGCAAGCCCAGCATCGAGGAGGACCTCACGCATCATGACATCCGCCCGCAGGAGTGCCGCCTGCGCGAGCTGACCTACTCCGCGCCGATTGTGCGTGCACCCGGCTCCTCCTCCCCCCCCCCCCCCTCTGCCCTTTCTCTTCCTCTCCTCCCTGTCAGGGGCCCTTCCGCCCATCCCGCCATGCCCTTTCGCGAGAGGGCGCGCGTGCGCGTCTGTCCCACCTGGGCAGCCGTCTAACCCCCTCGCTGCCGGATCCTCTCTCGCTCTCCGCCTGCCCCGCCCTCGCTGGTCGCAGTTCGTCGACATCGAGTACACTCGTGGCCGGTCGATCGTCGGCCGGCGGGGCGTCCTCATCGGCCGCATGCCGATCATGCTCCGGTCCTCGCACTGTGTTCTCTACGGTCGCACCGAGGACGAGGTCATCCAGATGGAGGAGTGCCCGATCGATCCCGGTACGTGGTAGTCGGCGCGCCTGCCCCTTGCCCCTGTCTCGGGCCACCTCTGACCCACCATGCCGCCCCCTCGCCCCCAGGTGGCTACTTCGTGTGCAAGGGTGTCGAGAAGGTCATCCTCATTCAGGAGCAGCTGTCCAACAACCGTATCATCGTCGAGCTCGATCGCAAGGGCTTTGTCACGGCCTCGGTCACCTCGTGCGTTTTGCATTCTCCCCCCCCCCCCCTCGCCCCTCCCCCTCTCTCCTCCTGCCATCGGGATCTTCGCCCCACGCCTCCGGCTGCCCCGGCTGGCCTAGCAGCAGCCCCCACTGACCTGGAGCCCTGGGCCCTGCCTCGGCCTTCGCGCGCGCGTGCGCCCCTCTCCCAGGTCCACCCACGAGCGCAAGTCCAAGACCAACCTCATCACCAAGTCCAACAAGATCTACCTGAAGCACAACTCCATGACCGAGGACATCCCGATTGCCATCATCCTCAAGGCCATGGGCATTGAGAGCGACCAGGAGATCATCCAGCTGATCGGCTCGGAGCAGATCTTCGCCGATGCCTTTGGCGCCTCGCTGCAGGAGGCCTCCCTGGCCAAGGTGTTCACCAGCCACCAGGCGTTGGAGTACATCGCCAACCGGGTGCGCATGCCGAAGCGCGCGTGGGGCGGCCCGGCCGTGCAGCGCCGCAGCCGAGTCGATGAGGCCCGCGACATCCTGGCCCAGGTGGTGCTGGCTCATGTGCCGGTGCCGCAGTTCTACTTCCGCAAGAAGGCCATCTACATCGGGCTCATGATCCGTCGAATGATTCTGGCCCAGAATGACCCGTCGCACATCGATGATCGTGACTACTATGGTAACAAGCGTCTGGAGCTGTGCGTCGGCCTCTCTTCTTCAATTGTCATATTTCCCCATCCCTCCTTCTCTCTTCTTCTCTCTTCTTCTCTCTTCTTCTCTCTTTCTCTCTTTCTCTCTTTCTCTTTTTCTCTCTTCTTCTCTCTTTCTCTCTTTTTCTCTCTTTCTCTCTTTCTCTCTTTTTCTCTCTTCTTCTCTCTCCCCCTCTCTCCCTCTCTTCCCCTCTCTCCCGCTCGCCCCCTCTCTCTCCCTCTCTCCCCCTCTCTCCCCTCTCTCCCCCCTCCCCACTCCTCCCTCACACTGACTGACGTATTCGTTCTCCCCTCTTCCTGCGCTGCTCATTCCCGCCCCAGTGCCGGCCAGCTGCTTGGTCTCCTGTTCGAGGATCTGTTTAAGCGCTTCAACTTCGAGCTCAAGCGCAGCATCGACCAGACCCTGAGCAAGTCCAACCGCTCGCAGCCCTTCGACGTGAGCCGTCTGATCCAGGTCCGCCAGGATGTCATCACAAATGGCCTGGTGCATGCGATCTCCACCGGGTGCGTCCGCCCGCCCCTCTGTCCTCCCCCCCCTTTTTTTGTAGCTGACATGCATGTCGGCCTACTGACGCCTTTCTCCACTGCCCCCCTTCTCCCCCCCCCCCCCACACACACACGCGCCACACGCCACGCAGGAATTGGTCCGTCAAGCGCTTCAAGATGGAGCGCGCCGGTGTCACGCAGGTCCTCTCGCGGCTGTCCTTCGTGTCGGCCCTCGGCATGATGACGCGCATTAGCTCGCAGTTCGAGAAGACCCGGAAGGTGTCCGGCCCGCGAGCCCTGCAGCCGTCGCAGTTCGGCATGCTCTGCCCGTCGGACACGCCGGAAGGTGAGGCGTGTGGCCTGATCAAGAACCTGGCGCTCATGACTCACGTCACCACGCACGTGGCCGAGACCCAGATCGCCAACATTGTCTTCAGCATCGGGGCCCAGGATGCCGAGCTGTACAGCGGCACCGAGCTGGCCGGGTCCACGGCCCTGCCCGGGGTCGAGCCGTACCTGGTCTTCCTGAATGGTAGCATGCTGGGTGTGGTGAATGATGCGGACAAGTTTGTGTCGGAGTTCCGGCAGATCCGCCGGGCAGGCCTGGTGAGCGAGTTCGTCTCGGTCTATCGGAACAGCGCTCAGCGGTGTGTGCACATTGCCAGCGATGGCGGCCGCGTGTGCCGGCCATTGGTCATCGTGGACACGCGAACCGGCGCCCCGCGGGTCACCGCACGGCACATCACCGAGCTGCGCCTGGGGCTGCGGTCCTTCCAGGACTTCGTGCGCGATGGGCTGGTCGAGTATCTGGATGTCAATGAGGAGAATGACTCGCACATTGCCCTGTACGAGAACCTCATCCACCGGGACCAGACCACGCACCTGGAGATCGAGCCCTTCACCATCCTCGGTGTGTGTGCCGGTGTCATCCCCTACCCGCACCACAACCAGTCCCCGCGTAACACCTACCAGTGCGCCATGGGCAAGCAGGCCATCGGTGTCATCTCCTACAACCAGTACCAGCGCTTCGACACGCTGCTGTATTTCATTTGCTACCCGCAGCGGCCGCTGGTCACCACGCGGGCTTTCCAGATGGTGGACTTCGACAAGGTGCGTTGCCGGCCGGGTGTTTTCCGTGTCCTGTCGGGCGGTTTTTTTTCTTCTCCCCCTTCCCGCCCTGGACTCACTCCATGCCCTTTGGCCCTCTCTGCCGGTGCTGTCGCCCTCTCTCCGCATACGCGCGCGCACACGCACGCACGCACACGCACGCACGAACGCACGAACGCACGAACGCACGCACACGCACGCACGAACGCACACGCACGCACGAACGCACGAACGCACGCACGCACGAACGCATACACGCACACGCACGCACACGCACGCACGAACACATGCACGCACACACGAACACACATACACAACCGGACAGCTCCCTGCCGGGCAGAACGCCATCATCGCCGTCATGAGTTACACCGGCTATGATATTGAGGATGCGCTGGTCATGAACAAGGCGTCGCTCGATCGTGGCTTTGCCCGATGCCAGGTCCTGCGCAAGCACTCGACCGTCATTAAGAAGTACCCGAACCAGAGCTTCGACCGGATTGTTGGTCCGCCCCCTGGCGACCAGACTGGCACCAAGTTCGGCGTCCTGGAGGCCGATGGCATTTGTGGCGTCAGTGAGCGCATCGAGCCGGGCCAGATCTACGTCAACAAGCAGACCCCCATCAATACCAGCGGTACCCTGCGCGATTTGTCCGTCATCTCGGACGCCAGCTTCAAGAGTGCCCCGATGACCTTCCGCTCGCCGTGCTCCGGCTACATTGACAAGGTGCGCTCCGGCGACGCAGGCCCCGACGGGGGGGGGGGGGGGGCGCCCGCTGCTGACTCGCTTTTGCTTGCATTCATTGATCTTCCCTCTCTCCCTCTCGTTCTTTTCCTCCTTTCCTTTTATTCACTCCTCTTCCTCCTCCCCCTGGGTCCCCCCTCCTTTGGTCTCCCTCGGCCGCGCGCGCGCGCACACACACACACACACACACACACACACACACACACATCCCCTCACATGTGGACACACGCACACGTGTAGGTGATCCTCACTCCGAACAATGACAACCAGCTCCTGGTCAAGGTCAACATGCGAACCACCCGGCGACCGGAGCTCGGCGACAAGTTCAGTTCCCGTCACGGGCAGAAGGGTGTCGTCGGTGTGATCGTCAACCAGGAGGACATGCCCTTCACGGATGAGGGCCTCTGCCCGGACATCATCATGAACCCCCACGGTTTCCCCAGTCGAATGACCGTCGGCAAGATGATCGAACTGCTGGCCGGCAAGGCCGGTGTGCTTGAAGGCGAGGACCGCTACGGCACGGCCTTCGGCGGTGACAAGGTCGATGACATGGGCGAGCAGCTCATTGCCCACGGGTACAACTACTTCGGCAAGGACTACCTGACGTCGGGTGCGTGCGGCGCCGGTTCATGCGCGCCCTGGTGTGGCGGCCGAGCACCGAAAGCGTGTGCCCTTCCGCCGGGCCAGCGCCAGCCGGCCATCTTCCTCTCGCCCTGCTCCACCGGCACCGCCTCGGTGTTGCTAACTGCACCGCTGCCCCCTCGCGTCCCTTCCTCTTTCTCTCTCTCTCTCTCTCTCTCCCTGCCTGCCTGCTTGGCCCTGTCCGTCTGTCCCGGGCGTGGACAATACCCAGGTGTCACGGGTGAGGCCCTGACGGCATACGTCTTCTTCGGACCGGTGTACTATCAGAAGCTGAAGCACATGGTCATGGACAAGATGCATGCCCGTGCGCGCGGCCCCCGTGCCGTCCTCACTCGCCAGCCGACCGAGGTGCGTGCCCCATCGTCGGCCAGGGGCCTTGAGATGGATGGCCCTGTGTCTATGTGCCTGTTGGTGCCCTGCTGTTCCTTGACTGACCTTTTTTTTTTCGCCCCCCTCCCCCTGCCCCCACCTGGCACAGGGTCGCTCTCGAGATGGCGGTCTGCGCCTGGGTGAGATGGAGCGCGATTGTCTGATCGGCTATGGCGCGTCCATGCTCCTACTTGAGCGCCTGATGACCTCGTCTGATGAGTTCGAGGTTGACGTGTGCAAGGTGCGCCTGTAACGGCTTTCCCCCTCGCGCCCCCTTCCCTCTCCTGGCTTGCTGTGGGGATCCTTTCATCGCTTTTTTTTGTGCCCCCCCACTCGCAGCACATTGATCTAACCTGCCCACCATCGTCGCCACCGTCATGTGGGTATGCCCACCGCCTCCGCCGCCGCCGGCCTTGTTGCTGCTGCTGCTGCTGTTGCTGTCGCTGTTGCTGGCCGTGGGGGGGGATGAAACAGCGCTGCGGCCTTCTCGGCTACGCCGGCTGGTGCAACTACTGCAAGTCCTCCTCGGAAGTCAGCCATCTGAAGATCCCCTACGCGTGCAAGCTCCTCTTCCAGGAGCTTCAGGCGATGAACATCGTCCC